ATCAACAGTATCAAATGCAGCACTAAGGTTTAACAGGACCACGTCCGTTAGTTCTTTGCAGATGTTCACACAACTGACCGGCAACTATTTTCTCTAGAATTTTTGAGATGAAAGTAAGATTGGATATAGGTCTGTAATTGGCCAGGATTGCTGAGTTAAGATAGTTTCTTAAAGCAATCTTAAAGCTCTGTGGTACATAACCATTCATTAGAAATAAATTAAGCAGATCTAAGATGTGTTAATTAAATAGGGGAAATACCTCTTTAAACAGTCTGGTTGGGATGGGATCTAGCAGGCATGTGGATGGTTTGGATGAGGTTATTATTTTTGACAATTCAGAGATCTCAACAGGACAAAAATAGTCCAAACATAAATCAGGCTCTAGTGACATTTTTAAATTTGCCTCACCTGATAGGGAACCAGAGGCAATAGTAGGAATGATGGTTTGAATTTCTCCCTAATTGAAATAATTTTATTTATAAAGAATCTCATGAAGTCATCACTGCTTATAGTTGTAGGGATACATGGTTCAACAGAGATGGGATTTTTCAATAAACTAGCTATGGTGCTGAAAAGGAACCTGGGGTTATTTTTGTTCTCATCAATTAAAGATGAATAATATACAGTTCTAGCTTTACGGAGAGCTTTTTTATAAGTTAGCAGACTGTCACTCCAAGTTAAATAAAATCCCTCAACATTAGTAGAGCGCCATTTTCTCTCCTGGTTTCTAGTTGCCTGTTTTAAAGTACGTAACTCAGAATTGAACCAAGGGGTCAGTCTCGTTTGATTGATTACTTTCTTTTTCTGTGGAGCAGTTTTATCAAGTGAAGTTTGCATTGAAGTTGTAAATTTATCAACTAGATGATCTAAATCACTGTACTCTGATGCATTACGCTGCAAGACAAAGGAAAACGATGATCGATGAGAATAATTACATTTGATTGCAACGTTTTCTGATAAACACCTGCCAAGATGAAATTTACTCTCAGTGACTGTGTAGTCATTCAATGTAAACTCGAAGGTTATTAAAAAATGATCAGGCAGAAGAGGATTTTGAGAATGCATTATTACCAAGTCCTTAATCTTGATGCCATTAGTCAGAATCAGATCAAGAGTGAAATCTTAGAAGAAAAATAAAAGGGAAACAATATAAGTAATTTAGATGTGTTTCTGAGTTTATTTTATGTCGGCAGAAATTGAGCTGTGCACGATCAGAAAGCTTTGTTGTTTTGCTTATTTCCATTTTCTTCTGCTTCTTCATGATGGAGTCATGATGGTCACAGTCTGGGAGGGAAACCAGACAGCACCACAACGACACACTTAAAGATATCAAACTGTTGTTTAAATAAATTGTAACTGAGTCCCCGAGGCTCAGTGGGATTAACCTGTATAAATAAAGGTTGAAAGAAATATAATCATTTCTTTTCATTTCTGTTTTATATGCAAATTTAATTACCTCAAATTCAGCTTTTCTCTCTGTCTGTCACCATAAATCTAAAAACAAACGGTTCTCCAGGAAAAGTTTAAAGTCCAACTGGAAATAAATTATAGAAAATCTTTATAATGTCAGTATTTTTAACTTTATTAATAAATCTTAAAAAAACAAAAAAACAATAACACACCCACACAAAAAACACACCTTTAAACATAAACGTGCATCCAACTAAAAGGGCAGTTGTCATTTATTCTTAATGAGTAAATTAAAACCTTTAAAACATGACAAATCAACTTTTTAAAACATATATTAACTCTTTAATCAAAATTTATTCTCAGCTGCAACATTTCTCAATGGAAAGAACAAGGTTAGCAACCCAGGTGTTTAAAAAAATAAACATAGTTTCTGTTAGCATGTTAGCTTCAACCAGGTGATTAGCATATTAGCTACAACCGGTTAATTTAGCTTTGCATACCAGGAAAACACAGGCAAGGTGTATTTAGTTTTGAAGGTTAGCGGGATAACAAGCGAATGAAGGCGTTCCTGTTGGGGAAGCAACACGTTTGTTCACCAACAAGATGCTAGCCTGACATTAGCCCGCTAACATGGCTAACACATTGAGGCACTGGAGAACCATGAGGTCCAAAACTTTTAGTTTCCAGGTTCTGTGTCCACCGAGCAGCTCTTCTGTTGGTGTTCAGATAAAGATCCTGTGTTCAGTTTGTTAAAGAGATTTAATTCAATAAGCTAAAATGTAATTGTTTCCTGATAACATTGGCTAAACTGTCAAATCCAGAATTGAATTAAAAATCTTACTTCTAACCTACAAAGCTCTCAACAACCTAGGTCCATCTTATATTACAGATCTTGTTGTTCCATATTTTCCTAACACAGCGCTTCGCTCTCAGACTGCAGGTTTACTTGTGGCTCCTAGAGTTTACAAAAGCAGAATGGGAGGAAGATCTTCCAGTTCTCAGGCTCCTCTCTTGTGGAACCAACTTCCAGTTTCTGTCCATGAGGATGACACATTGTCCAGTTTAAGACTGGGATTAAGACTTTCCTTTTTCATAAATCCTATAGTTAGTCAGCTTGGTTTCCTGACCTAACCTCTCCTGTCTCTCTTCTGACCCTGATGCACCATCACTCTGGAACAGGGTCAATCTGGACTCATAAGACCACATGACCTTCTTCCATTGCTCCAGAGTCCAATCTTTATGCTCCCTAGCAAATCAAAGCCTTTTTTTCCAGTTAGCCTCACTGGTTGGTGGTTTTCTTAAGACTACACAGCTGTTCAGTCCCAGTCCCTTGAGTTCCTTCACATTGTGTGTGTGGAAATGTTCTTACTGTCTCTATGAACCACAGCCCTGAGTGCTGCTGAGGTTTTTCTTCCATTTGATTTCACCAAATGTTTAAATGATCACCGATCACGATCATTCAAAATTTATTTCCGGTCACATTTCTTCCTGGAAGACAATGGGTCCCCACTATCCTTCCAGTTTTTAATAATGTGTTGGACAGTTCTTAACCCAGTTTTAGTTGTTTCTACAATCTCCTTAGATGTTTCCTCTGTTTGATGCCAATGATTTGACCCTTCTCAAACAGACGGACATCTTTTCCACGACCACCATGACTCTTTCCACATGGTTGTTGAAGAAATGAGAAGCAACTAATTGCACCAGTTGGAGTTAAATAACTTGTTGGAGCTGAAAGATAATCCCCCATGCAGTAATGATCCAACAGGAGGCTCGGACCTGTTTGATGAGTTACATCCAGGTGGAGACTATTTTTGGCCAGGCAGTGTATATAAACTGTTGAGACAAAGTCTGTGAGTCAGGAATGAAGGATCGTTCTGAACCAGGAAGGTGAACACTTTGATTTTGTTTCATGTTCAGACTGAAATCTGCAGTTTCAGGCTCAAGAAGCTCAAGCAGCTCAAGAAGCTCCAGCAGCTCCAGCAGCTCAAGCAGCTCAAGCAGCGCCGCCTAGTGGACACAAAACCTTTAACACGCTGACACGTGAAAAAGGATCAGAGTTTACTCAGATTAAACACTTTAATGTTTTTTATTCCACCATCATAAACCCCAGAAGTCATGCTCCACTTCCATCCACCCATTCACCCCAACTGTGATGGGCGTCGTCCACGAGGGCTCGTGTTCCCCCATCACACGGTTCTGACCCAGAACTCCCCAGCACTCAAACTCAAACACATCAAAGCTACATGTGAAGGCATGCACCTCCGACTCATACAAAACATGCCGAAAACAGAACACGACCGCGAAAAGAAAACCCAACACTGAAGCTCGTTACAGACGGGACACTCTACAGGTGAGCGTGCACGTTCAGGTGAGCGTGCACGTCCTTCCACTGTACACAAATATTTACATGCAGAGAAGCATCCACTTCCTCGTCCCCGGGCTGAGAGTGGCAGTGGTGGATTTAAGGACGAACTCATGCTGCTTCAGAGACAACAAGAAGCCAAGAGTTGGTCTCATTTGTGGAATCTGCATCTTGTTAGTCAAACGAGTCAAATGCAACTAAAACTGCTGAAGTCTGACAGTTCCTGCACAGCTGGTCGCTGCAGGAACTGGACGGAGACTTTCGTGTTGGTGAAAAATCAGCTCTTATTTAGAAGAAACGTTTGGTTGTTTATTGAATGTTAAGAATCAAAACTTTTGGTTTTTCTTAGTTAAAAACTAAATCAGCTCTAGAGAGGTTCTGTGTTAGCGCCTTGCTTTGGTGCGTTCACAGACTAGGAAGAAAAATCAGATGTGAGCGTCTGGTCGGCTGGTTAGCCTCAGCTAAGCCTGGTCATTGGAGTTATAAGAACATAATCATGTGACATTAAAACTACAAACACCCGACTGAGGCTAACAGACTTTCACTGCTGAGACAGTCTGAAAAGCAGCTTAACAAGCTGCTTAATGCAATGGTCCCCAACTCTGGTCCTTGAGGAACACCGTCCTGCATGTTTTAGTTTCCCTGCTTTGATACATCTGATTCAAATGAATGTGTGATTACAGGCTTCTGCAGAATATGAGGAAGTAATTAAATCACTGAATCAGGTGTGCTGGAGCAGGAAAACAACTGAACATGCAGGATGGTGTTCCTCAAGGACCGGTGTTGGGTACCACTGGTTTAATGAACAGTAGCTGCTGACACGGTCTCTTATCTATGCATGATAAACTGGTCGTCTTTTAAAGAGGTAAATGACAGAAACAGGAACAGGAATAAATGTGCCTCCATTAGGCTGAAAATGACCACAGAGACCGTGAAACAAACAAATTTAAATTACGGACATTTTGTTATTTTTGACAGGTAACATTTTATCAAACTATGATATTTTAACTCACTACCTGTTGAAACAAACTAATTTGTAATTATACGTTCTATCGGTGGAAGGAGTGTAAGAATAATGATTAGTACTCCTATCAGTACTCGGTATCTGTAAGAACGCAAAGTTCTAATACTGGTACTTGGTTTGTATCCCTGGTTGCCAGATGTCACTGCAGTTTTAGTTTAACCAACTCAATCCACAGTTAGTCGTATTAAAATACGAACAGATGGGTTTTAGATTTCAGGATTTATTTGTCTGTTAAAAATAAAATCAAAGAGAACCAACTGCCCCAAACAAAACGGGTACAAGACAAAAAGACATCAAATTTGGAGGAGAAACTGGGACTAAACCACCACCAACACTGGGAGGCCTGAGGGGACGGGGAGGAGCATGCGGGGGATGGGGGGACGTCAGTGTCTTCTCGACGGTCGATCATTCCTGTCGGAGAGAAGAGTTGTGTCTTTAAGGAGTAACAATGATTTCCTGTTGTTGAAATGAAAGACAGGTAGAGCCGTTACACTGAGATCACAACGTTTGGACGTTTCTGCACTTTGACGAGCTCTAAAGCACAAAGATCACACTTCAAGAGGGTTTAAACTTTTACAACTTTACTTTTTATTCTTTACCCTGATTTGCACGTACAGTCCCCCCACTGAGTCCACATTTGTCTCAACAGAAAACTTTGCGCTCATGAGGACGTTCAGACGTCCTGAGCACAAGAATCTGTTCGTCAGTGTAAAATTAAAGAAACTTAAAGGTGACGATTTAAAGTAAAACACGCAGGAAACGTCCTGCAGCCGCACTGAAGGTCTGAACTGGTTTTAGTCTGGCTGCAGGTGCTGGAGTCCTGCCTCCGGTTTATACCTGTTTGATCATCTCTCCAGTTTTCTCGATGACGATGGTTTTGGCCTCTTTGACCGGTGAGGTAATCTGGTAGTCGTCGCTGAGGAGTCCAAGGATCGGGTACTGGTTCCTGTACCTGCAAACAATAAAGTTCATGCTCAATCAAACCCAAACGACAGCAGACATTTTACTACACAGCTAAACGCTGGGCACACATTCATTCAACACTCTACTAGATCGATACAAAGATTAATCAGAGCTTTATCACATTCACACACCGATGGGACACATCGAGGCAATGAGGGGGTCATTGTCTTGCCCAGGGACACTTCAACATGTGACTGCTAGTGGAATCAAACCCCCAACCCTCCCAGTGAAGGATGACTGCTCTAACGCAGCAGCAGCATGTGCAGCAGCAGGTGCAGCAGCAGCAGGTGCAGCAGCAGGTGCAGCAGCAGCAGGTGCAGCAGCTGCAGCAGGTGCAGCAGCTGCTGCAGGTGCAGTAGCAGGTGCAGCTGCAGCAGGTGCAGCAGCAGATGCAGCTGCAGGTGCAGCAGCAGGTGCAGCAGCAGCTGCAGCAGCTGCAGGTGCAGTAGCAGGTGCAGCAGCTGCAGCAGGTGCAGCAGCAGCTGCAGGTGCAGTAGCAGGTGCAGCTGCAGCAGCAGGTGCAGCAGCAGCAGCAGGTGCAGCAGCAGCAGCAGGTGCAGCAGCAGCAGCAGGTGCAGCAGCAGCAGCAGGTGCAGCAGCAGCAGCAGGTGCAGCAGCAGCAGATGCAGCAGCAGATGCAGCAGCAGGTGCAGCAGCAGGTGCAGCAGTAGCAGGTGCAGCTGCAGCAGTAGCAGGTGCAGCAGTAGCAGGTGCAGCTGCAGCAGGTGCAGCAGTAGCAGGTGCAGCTGCAGCAGTAGCAGGTGCAGCAGCAGCAGTAGCAGGTGCAGCAGCAGCAGGTGCAGCAGCAGGTACAGCAGCAGCAGGTGCAGCAGCAGGTGCATCCCCACTGTTTAAAGTACGAGTTAAACTTGTGTTTCTTCTCCACTATTTTTAAACCAAATTATGTTTTATCAATCCCAGAAATGTCACAAACCATGCAGTGTTTAATATTTCTAATTTAACTTCGTTAGTTGCTAATTAAAATGCGTAAAATGATGTCGGAGCCCATAGCTGTGTCCAAACAAACATTTGTTCTAATGTCGATATAAAAATGTCCTAAAAGTCAAAGTTTTGTCCTCTTCTGTTTCATTTAATCAGTTTAATAAAGAAAACAATTAAAGTCAGACTTAGCCCGGGATTCAAACCCACACCTCCTACATGACAGGGCTGTAGTTTACACCAGTGTGGGGCCGCAGCCCCCTAGACGGCCACCAGGGGGCACCAGGAACCCTCATAAAGCTAGAGATAAGATTTTAAAAAAGCAAAAATAAAAAAAATATAGTAATAATAATAAAATAATTGTCCACTAGGACAATCTGTATCTGTCATTTCCAGAAACAGACGCTTGAGAGAGTTTAGATTTCTGTTGTTTTGTTCTTCTGGTCAACAGTTTGTTGAAAAGTTGTTTGTTTCAGTGGAGATATGTTTCAAACATGTTAATAACATGTTTATGCTCAGTAGCTGTAATAATCAATAGAATATAGTGAATAAAAGTTAAAACATTCTAAAAGTTGACGTTTCTTTACATATTTTGTAGCTTTATTTGTGGGCTTGCGGTGGGGGGGTGGGGGGTGGGGGGGGTTAGAAGCTAATGCTGTTTGGGGGCCATGGCAGGGAAAAGTTTGGGAACTCCTGGTTTACACCGTTCAACCAAATCCCATGATCACTCTGATGTTTGGAGTGGAAACCAGAGGCACTCAGATCTGTTCCTGATCAAGAGACAATGATTCAACAATCAGGCGACGGCGTCAACAACTCCCTCGTCTGATGAAACAGTAGCTGAAGTTTGTGTTTTCATGAACAACTGTGGCTGACGTAGCTCCAGGTTTTCATAAGTTCTTTAATAATTGAACCAGACTCCAGCTGGAAACGCATTAGTATAAAAATGCTCAGAATGAATTTAAATCACAGAACTTGTATAATTAGAGTTCCCTCAGAGAGACCGGATCAAACGAGCAGATTCTTCCACGAGTCGGGTCTAAAGAGCGGCCGGGCTCGGCCGTGGGTTTACCTCTTGGTGATGATGGTCTTGGTGACGTTCTTGGAGCTGTCGCTCCTCTCCAGCATCAGCTTCCTGATCTCCTGTGAAACCAAAACAGCTTCACAGTCAACACCTTGTTTGTTTGTTTGTTTGTTTGTTTGTTTGTACAAACTAAAAGCTTTAGATTAATGAACCTGTTTACACAAGAACGCCATTTGGAAACATTAGTGTTGTTTTCTAGGTTTGTTGGGACGAATAAACAACAACAATAAAAAAAGAGCCAGGCAGGGTTGCCAGATAAGAATAATGAACTATTGTACTGTCACTTTAAAACAATTGTATTTTGACCCAAACAGTCATGCGTGCTGAGTGAGGGAGGTGCAGGATGACGTGCATGTTGTGTTTGATGAACGTGCACAGGTGGAGGTAAAGGAGGGGGTAAAAACATATTCATGTTTATCTGGCAACCCTGATGCCAAGCACAGCTGCATGCAGTGTCAGCATGATCACAGTTGCATCTAAACGGGTAAATACATGAACGTTCTTTTGGACCAAGGATGTTGTTGGTTTGCTCCTACATGATGAAAAAGGGTGATTAGCACAAACAGCACTCTGCTCTCCGCCACTTCTTGTAACTGTGTTTAGATCAGAAAAACTTGAAGATGAAGCCGTCATGTCTGACCGAGGAGGCCAGAACACGATGACAGAGGCGTCTTGTGTGTGAGGCCAGAGGGAACGACGGACACGGACAGCCGAACCGCAGCAGGAAAGCTCCGGTCTCGCACACACAAAAAAAAGTGTTGTGTAAACGGGGCCCAAGCTTAAAATGTGAGTCACCGTAATTCCCAGACTATAGGCTGCTACTTTTTCACAGGCATTGAACCCCGCGACTTATACAACGCTGTGGCTAATTTATTGTTTTGACCAGCTAACGAGCTTCATGCCACCAAAACATTTAGCCTCGTCACACCCGGGCACTCACATAGCTGCCCAATACACGTCTCTCTTGGGGGGTGGGTCCTCATGACTCAGTGAGACTACCTGTATAAACAAAGACTTAAAAAATCTGACCAATGAAATTACTGAACTGGTCACAGTGGACCAATGAAATGGGAAGGGGAGATTCCCCACTCCCTGGGGGCACAACCAAGTATTTGCAGCCTCTCTAAATAAATGTGAATCTCTAAATAAACGTGAATCTCTAAATAAATGTGAATCTCTAAATAAATGTGAATCTCTAAATAAATGTGAATCTCTAAATAAACGTAAATCGTGCATTCATGTGGCACTGGGAGCTCAGTGGGAGGTTTAGATGATGGGCGGCGAGAAATCATTTACCAAAACTGGTCACATGTGCAGAGCAACATTTGCTTGATTCTGCAGTGGATCCTGACATGGAGGAGGAGGAAGATGAAGGTCAAAGGTCAATGACTTCCAGGTAGGTTACTGTACTTTCATTTTTTTTAACCAGCCGTGTCACCGGCACTGTTCAGAAAAAACATTTACTGTACATATTTGTGTGTGTTACTGGTACTATTTAATTAAAAGTTTTAAAAATTCTTTGTGTAAATATCTCATGTTACAACGCGGCTTATACACAAGCACAGCCTATTTATGTACAAAATATTTTTTTTATATAATTTATTGGACGCGGCTCATATTCGGGAGTGCTCAATAGTCCGGAAATTCCGGTAGTTGTTTTGTTCCCCGTTATTTCAAATCTCGGAGTGTCATAAATTACAGAACGTGTGAAACGTTTGAAACTTCAGTTTCTGTAGCCGTTTCAGTCTCGATCTTTCCAGGTCGTCTCCATGTTCTCGTTTACATAAAGGAACCTCGAGGCGATCGTGCAGGTGTCTGTAGGCAGCCGAACACGCCCGAGGCTTAATGAACGACGACACATCAGACGAAGCGACGCAGAAAAGAACGACCTCAGAATGCAGACGGACCAGAAGAGCGACCGCAAACAACGAGAGAACAAACTCATCTGCTCACAGGTGCTTCACCTCCGAACTTCAAACACTTCGTTTATAAAGATGATGAACCTCAGCGTCAATCAGCGTCAGTCTGTCAGTCTGTGTCAGTCAGCGTCAGTGAGCGTCAGTCTGTGTCAGTCTGTCAGTCTGTGTCAGTCTGTGTCAGTCTCACAGTCTCACAGTTTTATTGACCTCCGACCTGAAAGCTGCACGCTCTTCACTTTGGTTTTCTGAATCATGTGTCAATCTCAAGGCCCGGGGGCCAAATGTGGCCCTTTTTGACATCTTACCTGGCCCTCAAGATGATATTTTAAATATAAAATACTTTTATCTCTTTAATTTTTTCAGTAATCTTTGATTATGATGTCACAAGTGCAACAGAGAACATCAAATGAGACCAATCAAACTCTTGTTGAGGAACCTGTGACAAAGAAAAGATGTTGGTATCTGCCTTGAGTTAATGGAGATTCTGAAACTGGCCCTTAGATTAAAAAGGTTTTAATTTTGGCCCTTTTTGTAAGTGGGTTTGAAAACCTTGCTCTAAATGTCGGACTCCTGAGCGCCTCAGCAGAAAACTTAGTGAACGTCCGACTCAAAGCATGGTCTTCAGTGAACACTGGTCTGGAACGGGACAGTGGTTGTGCGTTTTGTGCTGCAGACCTCCTCCTGTCTCTTGATGGTGGTCTGCCGCTGTTCCAACATGGTGAGCAGCTCCGAGATCCTCAGCTGGAGGCTCTTATCTGCGGAGGAAGACGTGGTGGTGCTGGTGGTGACCTCCGTCTGGATCTTTGTTATCTGGGACTGAGGGCGGTACGGAGAGAGAAGAGGGACAAATGTCATTTCTTGATTCTCTTTGTCTTCAGGCTGATAAAACTCGGTGGATCACTTCCTGGAGTTCCTCCCATCTCACCCTGAGTCTCTGGATCTCCTGGTCCTTCTCCTGCCTCATGGAGCTGAGCTGGTCGTTGTACTGGCGGGACAGCTCCTCCGTCTTTATCTGCAGCGTGGCGCTGCTGGCCTGTCCGGACAGCTGCAGGAGGGACAACACAGCGTTCATCGTTGAGCACGTCTCAGTGAGACGTCGATTCGATCCACGGCTCCTACCTTCTGTCGGAGCATCTCGTTCTCCTTCTCCAGAGCTCTCATTCGACCCTCCAGCTCTTTGACCTTGAACTCGCGGCCCGAGTCGTCGTTTCGGCTGCTCGTCAGCTGGTTCTCCAGAGCGCGCTGAGCGGAGCCGGCTTCCTTCAGAGACAGCTGCACAAAAACAACAGACTCAGAAAATGATTTCCTGAACAATTACTGAACCTGCAGGACGGTGAGAAGGTCAACTGGTGAGAAGGTCGACCAGTGAGGAGGTCAACCAGTGAGGAGGTCACCCAGTGAGGAGGTCAACCAGTGAGGACGTCGACCAATGAGGAGGTCAACCGGTGAGAAGGTCAACCGGTGAGAAGGTCGACCAGTGAGGAGGTCACCCAGTGAGGTCAACCAGTGAGGAGGTCAACCAGTGAGGAGGTCGACCAGTGAGGAGGTCAACCAGTGAGGAGGTCAACCAGTGAGGAGGTCGACCAGTGAGGAGGTCACCCAGTGAGGAGGTC